TCTTAGGCCTTGTCTACACTGGCAAGTTACTGCTCAGTAAAGCAGCTTTCTGTGGTGTAACTCCCGAGGTGTACACACTGCCAAGCCACGTAGTGTGCAGAAACTCCACAGTTGCAGCATTGCAAAAACACCACCTCAACGAGAGTTGTAACCCTTAAAGCGCAGAGGCTCCAGCGCTGTATTGGCAGTGTAAACACATTACAGCGCAGAAAGCAATCAATTGGCCTCCGGAAGTGTCCCATAATCCCTCAAGTGGCCGCTCTGCTCATTGTTTTGGACTCCGCTGCCCTGGAGACATGCGCCCCTCCCCTTTCAAAGCTCTGTTTCTGACAGCCTTTGCGTGCTGGGCTGATCTGCTCTGGGACACAAAGCAAACCATTAATGTGGAATGCTCGTGCTGTTGAACACACAGGCAGAGAGGGTGTGTGTGTGTGTGTGTGTGTGTGTGTGAGATTGCTGTGCAGAGAGCTGGGGAGGGAGCTGATGTCTGGCCTCAGGACTGGTTGCTTCCTGCCGCTGTCTGAACTTACAAGACAGCATGCTGACACACTTTGCCCCCCCAAAACACGTCTCTCTCCCCCCTCCATACACACACACACACACACACACACACACTCACTCCCTGTCACACACTCTGGCCCGCCTCACACTTCAGTTGAAAAGGAGCTGGCGATGAAGTAGGATGCCCATGGAACTATGGGCTTGAGAAACCTGCATCATGTGACACTGTGCCTGCCCCATGAGGCACTGCAAACCCTTCCCAAAGCACCTGTGGCTAGTTGCACAGTGGGATAACTACCACAATGCACTGCTCTCTTTGCCATTGCAAGATCTGCTAATGTGGATGTGCTCCACTGTCACAAGGAGCACAGTGTGAACACACAAGAGTGGTTTAATTCCAACGCTTTAATAAAAGTAGTATAACTTGTTGCACAGAAACTTGCCAGTGTGGACATACCCTTAGATGACAAATATTAATTTCCCATCCAATGAGAGTTTGGCTGACCTGTCCCGGAACAGAATGTTTTGGTACATTAACTTACCCTTTTGTAAATTACTTATGTGCCACCTGAAATGTTTTAGAGAGTCCTGTGGCACCTTTAAGACTAACAGATGTATTGGAGCATAAGCTTTCGTGGGTGAATGCCCACTTCGTCGGATGCATCCGACGAAGTGGGCATTCACCCACGAAA